CACCATAGAAACTACACCTGGACCTAAGCAACCATACCTGGACCATACCAAACACGCCTGGACTAGAGAAACTACACCTGGACCATAGCAACAACATCTGGACCTGTGAAACTAGACCTGGACCATAGCAAACACACCAGGACCATAGCAACAACACCTGGACCAAATAAACTATAATTGGACCAGAAAAACTCCACCTGGACCAGAGAAGCTACATCTGAGCCATAGAAACTACATCTGGACCAGAGAAACGTCACCTGGACCAGTCCTTCTGTTTTTGCCTGTGTCTCTGTCCTGTCCTCTCTAACCCAAGCTGGTCTCAAGCAGATGGTCACTTGTCCTGGTTCCGTCTTCCTGTTAAAAGGGAGTCATTCCTTCCCACAGTCACCAGCGCTCCTCTCAGGATGGGGGGCAGATGATCTGCTGGTTCCTCTCAACACTTTCTCCAAGTACTCCATGATGTATAAAAGAAGTCCATGGACTGTGATTCAATTAGAATCTGGATCTGAGCTGGATTAATGATCTGGACATGATGTTTTGTTTTATTTTATTTTGTAAAGTGTCCTGATCAAGGTCAAGGTCAAGCTTCTTTATTTGTCATACGCACCACATGTGGTACATGAGGTGGAACAAAGTTTTGTACACGGGGTCCCAGCAAAAATTGTAAAGAAAGACAGGAATAAGATCTAAGACATGAACTAAGAACACACTATAACAATGTGCCAAACAGCAGCACGAACATGAGTCTGTGTGAGCAGATGAGGACCAATGAACACAGCAGCAGGACATAAATCAGCAGCAGGACATAAATCAGCAGCATGGATAATCAGCAGCACATTTCAACAATCAAGTAGCATTACAGTGATTTTGGACACTAACGTATAAACTGTAAAGAAATAACAGTAATAATATCTAAGATATGAACTAAGAAACAACTGATATAACATTTGTTGTGTTATAGAAATAAACTGAATGTAGAAGCTGACCAACAACCCAGTTAAAACCATTAATAAATCCTTTGTACGCTGACGGTGGTCCAGTCTGAACTGGTTCTACAGACTTTGTTTCTTCCCTTCATGGAGACGCCACCTCACCTCAGTCCTGTCCATTAATGAAGACCAAGAAGGAAACCATTTCTTTAAGTTCTATCAAAGTACTCGGGTCATGTTGGTCCAGAACAAGAGAAGACCTGGCAGCAGGACAGGTCCAGAACAAGA